ACCCTGCAACCTTAAACCCTAAACCCAAAACCCTGAAACCTTAAACCCTAAACCCTAAACCCTGAAACCTTAAACCCTAAACCCTAAACCCTACATCCCCTGAAGCCTGAAACCACAGGCGAGCCGAGGACTGGCGCCCAGGCGAGCCCACAGAAGGCAGGAGCTTGGCCTAGCGGCTTAGGGCGGTCGGGAAATCGGGACAATAGGGAATTAGGGGTTAGGGTTTAGGGCTTAGGGTGTAGGGTTTAGGGTTTAGGGTGTAGGGTTTTAGGTTTTAGGGTTTAGGGTTTAGGGTTGGGACAGGGCTTCTGTCAGGGTTTGGGGGTTGGGGGGTTCAGAGCTGCTTGGGGTTTGAGGCTAGTTTGAGGGTGATGCGGGCAATGTGAGGGGTCTTTGAGAAGGTTCTAGGTGCCTCGTCAGGCTTGTGTTTAGGCTCTCTCTTTCTGTCATTCATTCATTAGTTATTTTGTTTTCTTCCTGACTTCCTTCCTTGCTTGCGTGCTTTGTTGTTTCTGTTTCTCTATATACAGATGCGTATGTATCTTCCTTGACCTTTCTGTTCAGAAACAATGTGCATAACAAGGGCTCTATGAGGTTCTAGTTGGGTTTCTTCCAATCCTAGACCCCTAAACCCTAAATCACCCTAAACCCCTAAACCCGGAAACTCCCAAGCCCAAAACCCTTCAGGGCCTGCTGAGGGGTTGGGCTTGGGGCACCAGGGCTTTGAGGATGGGTGGAGGTCGTCTTTTTCCGGCTTCACAGCACATCTGTCCGAAAACCTACACCCCTGAAGCCGAATTAATATAGGGGCCTTAATATTTAGAAAAGGGTTTGGGGGTATATTCTACTACAAGTATATTCAGGAACCCCCCAAAACCCCATTCTAATCAGTAAGGCCCCTACATTATGCTGATAGAGACAGCAATGGCATCACATCCACCTGCACTGCGCCGTCGTCGAAGACTCTGCAGTCAGAGTCATAGCACAAGAAAAAGTGCTTGTTGCGATGTAGGGAATAATCCTCAATCACGGGGGGCTCTCCACATCACAGCTGCGATGATCGGTGTTTTCTTGGTCTCATTCTTCTTATGTCGCATTTTCCAGTCGTTCTGCAGAGGCGCTGCCTGCCCCTGCGCCGACGGCTCCGGCCCAGCCTACTTCGCAGTCGCTTGATGCAATCGGGGGCCCGAAAAGGGAACCCTGCGCAGGATTGGACTGCGAGCTGCATGCATTCTCACCTCCCGAAGAAGCCCTGCGAATCCGTGGACGTGCCTGGACCCTTGAAGAATCTCGCATGACACGCCAAGGATAGCCCTGCAGAAAGAGGCGCAGCCGCCTCCATCAAAGGGACCCGCTGCAAAGGACGACCTCGGGACAGTTCCCAAGGAGAAGGTCGCGAAGGCTCTGATGTGCTTTCCAATCCGTCTGTATCCATTTGTAAGTCTAAACAACATCAGCAACCCGCCTGATGTTGTGCATGCAAGATTCAACGTGCTCTGCGTGCCGACTCCTGGGTGATGTCCACCGTTCCTTCTGTGGCATCTGCCTAAACCCTAAAACCCTACACCCTAATTACAGTTTGTGGCAGTCAAAACCTTGTGAACTTGACAGGCTGCAGGGGCCGAAGAAGACGAGCCTCTCGGCAAAAGGGCCTGGTTTGTTCCGAGTTTCGAGGTATACTCGGAGGTTCATGGTCGCTAGGCTACTGCCGTGCGAGGCAACGACAAGGGCAGGATCGCTACTGGTCGCACGATTCGAGTCACGATCGCCGTTACGATTGCATTATGCCACGACGTCGTTGGCGGAGCAGCGCCAGAGCCATCGTGAGATCGGACGTTTCTGAAGGAACGGGTTCGCAGCCACAGAAGAGGGCTCGAGGCGGTCCTCCGAATCGTCGACCAGTGCATGGAGCGGTCGACGATTGCTGGCGACCGGTGCATGGCGCGGTCGTAGCAAGTTTTGGGTTGGGGTGTAGGGTTTAGGGTCTCTAGCCTTCGCCGGGCGTCCGTTGGCCGTGTCGCCCAACGAACCGGAAGTGTTGCGTCGTCCTGCACTAGAAGCCCTAAGCCCTCTTACAAAAACGACTTTGCTGAGGTTGAAACCTCCTATGCGCAAAGCCTAGGATCTTGTCGAATAGAATCCTTGGGAGACGCCTAGGAAGAGGGTCGGACCCATTTGTAATCTTATCAGCTCATACCCCCCTGCTTTTTTCTCTCGTTTCGCACCCTCTCACTACGCTGTTCTAATTTTGAGACCCTTGAGCCCTAAACCCTAGACCCTAGTTCGTTCAGAGCAGGCCACTGAAGTCAGAACTGATGTTCAGGTACGAGTATGAGTCGACTTCGAGCAGCTCCGTAGATGCCAGGCAGGTTTAGGGTTTGGGGTTTAGGGTTCGGGGCTTTAGGGTTTGGGGTCCAGGGTTTAGGGACGGGGAGGACGGTCGGTGTTTCGATTTCTTTCTGGTTTGATTCGTTCTTCCATTTTTGTTTGTATGTTTTGTTGGAGGGTGTTGGGTTTTGTTGTTTGGTGCAACATGCCGAGCTTTACCTGAGCTTCTTTTCGGCTTTTGCGGTCGTTGTCGTTGGGTGTATGGCGTTTTGTTTGTTGAGGGTTTTGAGAGTCGCATGCCACCACCACCACCACCACCACCACCACCAACAATAACAACAACAACAACAACAACAACAACAACAACAACAACAACAACACCAGCAGCAGCAGCAGCAGCAGCAGCAGCAACAACAACAACAACAACCCTAACAACCAACAACCAACAACCAACCA